CAGGGTGCTTATGAATTATGAATTACCTCAGCTTTCTGAACATTACTTGCTACTCACATTTCAAAGCACTTCCTGTTGGGAAATCCCTACTGGCCTAAAGCCTTTCAAGTGCTACTCTATACGCAGAGCAACTGTGCACAGTGTAATAACATTTTATGCATGCGCAATAATTGTACACACCCATTTTCGGGCTTTTTCAATCTGGGCGGAGCGCCCAGTAGTTATAATGCTGCGGGAAACACTGCGTTAATTAACATATTTTTAAACGTATTTATAATGATGTTAACATTACGTTGTGTGTGCCGACAGACCGACAGACAAACATACAATGGTCCATGGTATCGCCTCTTGTAAGCCTAGGTTGGCTCGCTTCCGCTCGCCAATAAAACCTCTGATATGTGACGTAGTATAATATGGCACAAATATAGATTTTACGCCAACCCTCCAAATAATAGAAACCTATTACAGATTCCTTTATTCCCGGTCAATATTGACTTGCTGTTTAAGAAGCATTTTTTGAGCTTCAGCACTCCGTTTAAGTGGGCTTTACAGTTACCGAAAGACAAAGACTTGGACAGATCTGCCTAATGTGCGATTAGGATTCTATTATTCTGGAAGATGGCTAAACTATGTTCAAAGTCGGGAGTGAACTTTAGTGCTTTTCATAAGGAGGTGAGTTCCCAAGGTCCCATCCTCCATCATGAAGTTGAAGGTTTCCCGTCCAAAAAGTTTGGGAGTGACGATTCGATTTCCGAAAACGAGTAGCCTCTCCTGACTAATGGCTAGGTGGCTTCAGGCTTTCCAATATGGCCTGAGCTCGTTGCTGATTTTTTCTAGTCTGGCCACCCTTCCATTCAGTATTTGCGCACTTTAGTACATATTGGGTCAGTTTCCTGTGCTACTTGATACTGTTGAAGTCTTCCTCCAGTTACCGGTAGGTTGCATACGCTGACTTCCATCAGATAATCAGCTTCTTCCTGTAGCTCAGAATCATTTGAGACTGCAGCAGTTGGTGCGGGGAGAGTGTATCTGCAACACACAGTTCCTTTCCAGGGATATGAGCTATTGTGTATCCTTCAACTGAATGTCGTAGGGTGCTCCCAGATTTCCCAAGCCTTTTAAACAGGTTAGGAAACATATTGCGGTAGTGTTGTTGGCCAACTCCTGTTTCAGTTGAATCGATCCGGGTTGCCAATGTGAGCGATGTGATGGCAAACATTCAAAGCGGATTTGTCTTCAAGCCACTGACAACAAACACAGTCTGTAGTGTTGACTTCCCTTGATATGACAGAGTTCTTGCCTGAGAACTGTCCTCAATGGGCATTGCGAGGAACCGTACAAGGTCTTGCTAGGGGTCGAAATTTGAGGTGATTTTAGACGTTGATACGTTTCTTCGGAGACTGCTGTAACCTCTGCTCCCATATTTATTTTGAACTGGGTATCGTGTCAATTGACGTAGAGAGTGATGTACCACGCGGTCATCGACGGTTGTGGATCCACAGTGCCTAGGAAGGCGGTATCCAATGACTGGTCTTGCGTGAGTTCGGAGATTTGCACTTCCGTTAAGCACTGGGAACTATAATGTCCCCTCTTTTGACAGCGATAACAAGTAACATCCTTCGCAGGACATTAATGTGAGTCGCCACCGCATCGAATGCAGGTTTTTCGCAGGGGTGTGCCTCGCCTCGTTCCTTGGCACTTGACCGGTAGTTATGATGTGAAGGGTCTTTGTGCACGAGAACAAATTAACTCGACGTCGGCTCTTGGACTTTCTGTTGCAGACGCGTTAAGTTGTTTTTGCTGTTCGCCTATGACCTCTTGTTGCCTGATTTTCTTCTTGGCTTTCTCCAGAGTTAGTTCGGCTTGGAGTTGAAGACTCCTCGAAAGAGCGGCGTCTCGGATTCCTATACAACAAGTCTATCGCGGAACATTTCGTGTCGCATTTCCCCAAAGTTACAATGCTCCGCCAGCATGTACAATTGTGTGATATAGTTTTCAGCAGTTTCACCCTCCTTGTTTCCCTGATTGAATCTGGCTTTTTCGAATATCATTTCGCCGCACCATGAAGAACACCTCCAATTTATCGAGTCGAAGATTAAACAGATTCTGCTTCCTCTCCAATGCAATAGAGGAGAGTGTTTACTTGCTTAACGTTGTCTGCATCTACCAGACCCGATGCGATGTGAAATTTCGTAACATCTGTGCCAGCGTGGCCAGTCGTCCGGGGTTCTGAAGTTGAACGGGTCCGGAGGTTTAAGCTGGAGCTGAGCCATCTTCTTTTGCACGATCCCACCGCTGCCACCATGTAGAATCTTGGCTTAGCCACGGGAAAATATTCAATACAGTGTACAGTCGTTGTAGACACAGTGGAACCACAAGGGGCATGGTGAGTACAGCTGTGTAACCATGAACAGACGACTACAAGACCGATACAAGACAATGGTGACAGTGCAACGACATAACCATGTACATGATAACAGTGATTCTGGCGAAACGGACGGTGTTTCTATCTATATCGGGAATCTCCGTCCCCAAATAGGTGTGAAAAAAAACTCGTGAGACACTGACCCACACACTAGAGAACTTCTTTTGACCCTAGAGAAACCATTACCCTGAGTTTTGTACTCCATAGTGATCAATCATAGAGTCAGGACCGATACCTAATTTACAGTACCATTATCTCTGAGGCATCGTTTACATTTTTTCCCTCATGGAGTTTATTCCCTTTCCTCGTGTATTATTCTACGCAGGTACCTCTGTTACTTACACTTTGCTGGGTTCTGCAGCTTAGTTTGTCAGCATACCACAGTGATTTAGCCTATCTTTTAAATTACCAGCAAAACTTTTGTTTAGCAGAGTTCATATCCGTCTACGCTCAGTCACTACCGGGCATCGCACTGTCCAGGACGTCACCACTCTCTGCTTTCAATTAGAACAGCTGAGAGAGTTTTCATGTGTGAAGACCCTGACCCTAGAGATGTCCCCAGTAGAAGTAATACAAAGTCAACCAAAGAAATATTTGCATTCTGGTTAACGAAATATTGTTTGAGATCATTTTATCATAGGATAAGTTTATCTATCAAAGAGGTACGACGTATAACCTCGGGTATATTGACTCCTCTCATCATTTGTCAAGTTACGGACACAGCGTGCTTTTTTCCAGTTTATGACAGCACGTTCTGTTTAAGTAACCCAATCTTTTCTTTTAAGAAAGTGGAGAACTTCCTCACTTTAACTCTGCTCCACGTTGCTTACAGGTTGCTTTCGACTCCCAAAAGAGCATGATAAGAATTTTCAACTTTTACAACTTCAACTTTAAGCTTTCCCGGCCTCCCTCCCTCACACTCTGACCTATTCGGTAAAAAACACAACACAATTATTTTTTTGCAGAAACACATGTGACAGTGACACGTGGGGTGTCACAAACACAAGTTGATCAAAAGAATCCAACAACACCAACCCTCAGCGCGCATGCGCAGCGAGGGTTATTGTACTTTGTCTGTCTGTCTGTATGTCTGTCGACGCTTATTCTGGCACTACAGGCTGCGAGGCGGCCTAAGAGCGATACCATCGGCTTCTGAACTACGCGAGCCTGAAAAGTAAAACGGCAATTTTCCTGAAACAACTGCGTTCGAGAGATATGCTGTGGAAGCACGCGAAAAAGCCAATATGCATTACCCCGCTGGGCTTCTCGCTCTGTGTATATACGTTGGAGGCTCAAGAAATCACAACTAAGGGCGTGTGTCGACTACCGCTCGCTATCTACTTGTGTAGCTAGCCCATGTCAGATTCTCCTCCAGCTACTAGCGTGGAGACCACGGGAGTAAACGCATACTCTTCGCCCAACCCATCATTTAGCGGCATCGCACACTTTAGTGCTTTTCATTGAGATTGGACTTAAACTCACAACGTTGTTTTTAGGCAGAGCGCTGAGGAGCTCAGCCGGCAAGCAAAATACAAAGCAAACCACAATATGTGCATAGCTGCAAACATTATCATTTACGTATATACTCTGTTGCCTTACTACCTTGAAAACATGGGTCTCGTCATGGGTCGTGAGGTAGGTGAACTTCGGGTACATACATATAAAGGATCTCAAGTTTTCCACCGTTGTCTTGTGCGTTGCCTGTTAGTCAATATTGTGCGTAATTCTCTGATGAGATTACCAGTGGTGTAAAACCTACTAGGAATCAGAGGAGTATCCATCAAGGACTCTACGTACACGAAGAGGTAATCAATCGATTAGCTCAGCGTCACTGATGCCTTCCCTCTTCAAATCAAAAAATACTTTCAGCACCATATCATCTGAAGACGTTGGTATCGCTCATGGGCCGCCTCGTAGCCTGTAGTGCGAGAATAGCTGCTGACAGGCAGACAGACAGACACACACACACACAGACCAAGTACCGTAACCCTCACCGCGCATGCGCACCGAAGGTTAATAATCACAAAGAAGATGTGTGCCAAAATTACTTGCAATTAAAGACAGTTTCTCTTTAATGAGTTTCTCTCGATCAGACGGTTAAAGTTCCGCTATCATTTGAACTATCGCTGTCTGTGTTCTAGCATTAGTCACAGGCATGTAGTTGTCTGTGTTTCAGCTTGCACCGAAACTGTGTGCTTCTGAATATGATTCTAAGTATCAGAAGTAGCGTATCTCTCAGCTTTTTTGCATCAGTTGGTGTTGCAAAAAGTCTGGGGAGCCCTGTTATCACCCTGAATCTACAGACTACAATTATTAACAAAACACTCTTTAACTGTGTTGAGCTACAGAAATAATAAGCAACTCAATATCGGTGGCACAGAGATGCAGATCAGCAGCTAAAGAAAATTCCACGACCATGACGATCCCTGTCGCGACAAAAAGTTTGATAATCTGTTATTGGTGGATCATTCTTACAAACAGCACCACACAACCATGTTTCTACAATACAAATTACCTAAGGTTATTCTGCAGCAGCTATACATTTCAGTTCATCAAGTTTAGGCAGTGGGCTTCGTGCGTTGAAATAAACAATGTTGAGTGCATTGTAGGAGTAACTTGTGTCTCCAGCTGCTGCTGGAGACTGTTGGCCAAAAAAGGTGTATCACTGTGGTCATCAGGTACAAGAACATCCTGTGAAACTTCTGTTTGCAGAGGTGTATGCAGAGGACTATTTGCCAAAACAGACGTTTCGCGGCCAACAACTCCAGCCACATCTGGTGTAGCCTCTGCAGTAGGCAATGGTGATTGAGAATGTGTAGGCACAGGTGTAGAGACCGGTTCGAGGGAGCTGTCACCATGTTCTGGGAGAGACAATGGTTGGGACACAGGGGTAGATGCTCTGCGGAAACAAGGCTCTAATTTCCATGCTGTTTGGAACTCAACCTGCTCCCATTTTGCATCAATAGCTTGAAGCTTAGCCTCTTCGTCATGAAGCACAAACCACCAGCACATCTTTCCATTCGACAATTCTTTAGTTTTCCTCTTGACTCGTACAGAATCAATGCCACACAGCTTTTTTATAGTGTTATGTATAGCGCTGGCAGTACACATACTAAAAGTACCCCACACTCTACGAGCACCTTCGACCTTTTCTTTTTTTGTGGCGTGGCTCAGAAGACCTGGAACTATGTGCTGAGGTATCATTGGAGTGTAACCTTCTTCTACCAACAATCACCCTACCACCTCTTCCCCTTCTCCCCATACCCATACCCCTAGCATGAATATTAAAACCCAAAACTGGCTCACCATTAGGAAGATTGGACTCGACCGGGACAGACTTTTGTGACATATTATTCTGCTGCATTGAGACGGAGTTTCTCAGCTCACTAATGACAGCTTTCATCTCGCACACTTCCGATTGCAACGTTGTGACTACCAGTTTAAGACTTAAGAAAGCAGGAGGGATTAACACAAACAACAATACTGAAACGGTACACTCCGCACCAAGACACTCTGTTTGTAGAGGCCCATTCAGTTGGAATGAGTCTTGCAACGCATTTTTGGTGAGCAGCGCAAGTATTAAAGTGCGACGCTCTACGTGTTACACGAGCATGCGTGCTAATTTTCAAGTGGCAGAGAAGTTGATTCCATAATTGCAGGGGGCGATGCACACAACCTGATTGGCTCGATTCGCTCATTGTGCAAACAGGAAGGAGTCTCCAAGCGGGAGAACGGGAGAACGTACTATTTTTAACTGGTTATATCCTCTTAAAGGATACTTGACAGCTCTGATATGGGCTATGACTATCCAAAAATATGTTGTTTTTTTCGTTGTGCTAGCAGCATTATACTGTTACGTTTATCTCACTCATCATTTTATGGAATATGTCTCCACAGAGCCTGGTGCAGCAACCCAAACTATAATACCTGCTGGTGACTCTTTGGATGTCCTAGATAAGAGGCTGAACAAAGATGACGCCGTTAACATTGTTCGACAATTACTTGATGTGCAAATCAAAGCAAAAACTTTAGGTCGGTTATTAGAATTACCAAGATCCATTATAGACGTAACTCCTCAGCTGACCGGTGATCCTCAGGCTCCTCTTTTCTATATCATTGATGAGTTTCTGAAACAAGTTGATCCCAGACCAACATGGAGGCTGATCCTGAATGCCCTCAGAGATCCGCTAATTGGGGAACATAGCCTGGCTCAAGAGATAGAAGTGTCTCTAACAAAGGACATGACTTCTCCCCTTCTTCCTGCAACTTCTCTTTCCCAGTCCTCATTTCCTACTTCAGTCTCCCACTCCACTTCCCCTACTGATGTGCTCCAATCCACTACTGCTGCTGCTGCTGCACCCCTTCCAGCATTAACTGCAGACTCCCAGTCATTATCAGTTTCACAGTCTATCTCGACCGTTTCAGTCTCCAGGTCTAAGTTACCAGGAACAGGCTCTAGATCTCCTGGAGATTCCACTCAATGGACAAAGAGACACTCTCGCCCCACTCATCAAGCCGTGAGACATAGATCCCAGGAAATGGCTAAACCTGCTCAGACTCATTTTAGAGGTAAGCCTCTTTACCTACACCAGAATGATTGATAGCCTTCAATTACCTCCTGTAGCTCTCAGTCCTGCCTCCACTAGTGTGGTCCATAAGTCAAGGTCACGGGGACCAAGTTCTGGGTCTCTTACAAAGAAAGTTCATTACTCAATAAAGGGGACTGCCTCCCAGAAGTTAACAGCAGTTGTGGCAAAGCCTCAACCAAGTGGACATCGTTCTCAAGAAAAAGCAACCTTAGGTATTATCATTGACCCACTGTATGTATATTACAATGGTTGATTGATATAGGTGCTGTTGGTGGTCACTCTTCTATGGCTGAAACACAGCATAGCACTAAACATAAAAACACCAGTGGACAGCAGAGCTCCAGTGTAGTATCTAGAACTACACATGGCATCAAAGCTGTTAGTGCATCAAGAACACGGGAAAGTGGAGGCTCTGCAGTTTATTCCTCATCTTTACCCACTGCAGTCGCTCCCACTGCATCAGACATGCCACTGTCTGTGACTTACAGTAAGTTGATATAAAAGGTTGACTCAAGGGGTATTGATGTGTTGCTGTGTACCTTAGGTTGTGATATGGCTGAAGTACAAAGTAATATGCAAAGGCTTCATGCGAGGTTTGAGGATTTGCAGAATGCAGTTATAATGTCATTGGTTCGAAATGGAGTTCCAGTTTCACATTTTGTTCGTGAACTTTCAATGCTCGAGCATCAAATGTAGTCGAACATGAAAACTACTTTTCTGAAGACGTTAGGGAATTTGGCAAATGTGTGAAGTACCGTCCCTTATTCTCTCATCTCAGTCCTCACTGCCACTTTCTCTCACCTCATTTGCTCTATCATCTCATTCGAAAGTTTCTAAAGGCTTTTAAAGAAATGGTGTCTTATAACACACATCTTAGCCAATTTAGGAATGAGACTCTCTTGGGGTTGTTTGCTCAGATAAAGCATCTACGTACTCCACTGCCAGAAGGTTTCTCCAGTATCCTGGTACATTTTAAAGGTGACGTTTCGAAAGATATGACATTAGGCAACGTAGATGTTTTCAGGAAAAAGTACTTGAAACATCACAAGCTGTGTGATTATACACTCATGCTAGTAACCAATGATATGATGCTGCCATCAAGTGCTTCATTTTCAGTTCCCAATTCTGTCACTGAGAGACTGAAAAATGACATTCCTATTCAACTTTTGAAAGAATTTGGTGTCATTCAGTTTGAAATCGCTGGAACTCCAATGTACGGTGAGGCTGGGGTGACTGTCTCAGGAGTACCTCCTTCAGCCAACGATCATCTTATTATTGCTGTACCCCTAACTCCAGGTAAGAGTAACCCGTATGATATGCATAACAGTACTAGTTAAGAAACAGAATTGTGTTTTGTTAATAGGACTATTTTATGTACAGACCTGTTATACAATGCTTCACTGGCATTGTAGGGAGTTTTGGCTTCAAAAGTATGTAAATAAGCCAATAGCCTAATGATCACTGACTTACTTCGACGAGATTCCCTTTTTGTACACTAAAGAGGCATAAGAACTGGGTGCAAATATTGAGTGCGAGTCGCTATCTACCCATAGTCGCTAGCCTGTGTCAGACTCTCATTGAGGTAGCTAGCGAGTTGTTGTACCACCTCACGGAGAAGTCAGCGTGTGTTGGTGTCGATTATGCTCATGGTTTCCAGATTTAAACAGCTACGATTATTATTCCACTGTAATGTGGTTTAACCCCAAAATGTGCAAGATTAACGACGTTGTAAAACATTTGTTCTTTTCCTCTGAGGAACTGTAAGGTGCATTTAATATTAAGACTCCAAGCAGTACATTTTTAGAGTGTCAGTGTACACTAGAGTTTAGGGATGAGACAAGTCCACTCTTACATGGTCTGTATACATAGAGCCTTAAAACACGGTAGAATTGCTCGCTAGACCTTCTAGCAATTAACCTCTTGTTTGTGAACTACGCTTGTTGATCAGTGATATGGAGATGCCTAGAAACATGAAAACAGCTAAGACAGACACACAGCTACATGGCACCATCCCTGTATCTTTGTTCTACTGAGATGTATTAATTGTGTTTTGCGTGCATTACTTGTGCAATGACCTCGTGTTTGTTTGCCATCCCTATATCCCCCTTAAACGTGAAGTCCGTGTGTAAAAGGGGGCGCACCAGTACGGGACATTTTCATTAACCCTCGGCGCGCATGCGCAGCGAGGGTTACAGTGCTTTGTTTGTCATTTTGTCCGTCTGTCCTTCCGTCTGTCTGTCTGTTACCACCGTTTTCTGCCATCACGCGCAACGAGACAACAAAATAGCGATACCAACAGGTTCATTTCTACACTGGCTCTATTTTTAAAATAGTGATTTTCGTAAAAGTACTGCATTTTAAGTTATGGCGTGAAAACCAAGTTGACAAGACAATATACTAGACCTGATCCGCTTGCTCTGTGTACCTCGGAGGCAAAAGAAGCCACAACAAAAGGCGTGTATCGACTCCTGCATGCTATCTACTATTGTAGCTAGCCTGTATCAGACTCTCCGCGAGCTACTAGCAGGAGACCACAAGTAAACGCATACTAATAGGCCCAGCCCATCAATTATATAGCGGTACTGCACATGCGCAGTTCGCTGAGTGTTTCCACTTTAGTTCTTTTCATTCTTGACGTTTTTCGAGTTTGCCTGGCAAAGTGGCACTAATTAAATTGCGGCGGATAAAAATCGCTTCTTTGTATGTGCTACTGTCACACTCCATAAGCGTCTACAAGGAAGAACTACGGTCTAAATCATTGTCCAGTATGAAACACAAGCCAAACACTCACCGGGGAGCTCAGTGCCTCGCTAGTCCCTAGCTCGGTCGTCTTCTTCGCACAAGTGCTGGTAGGTAGCCACGCCCTGCACACTCAGCTAAAAAGCAGTTGCGAAGCTTTTTTGCTCGAGTTGAGTTTGGCTGGTAGCTCTGTCGTGGTGTTTTGAGGGGTCATCTGTGAGTTTTTGTCGGTGTTCGACATTGTTGGTTTCTAAGAGAAGCGGCATGCATAGCAACCGTCTCCTGCCGCTCGAGCCAGCAGTCTTTCGGCCTTCTCCTGTCTGTACGCTACATTGAAAAGAGCGTGTACTCATGTGATGTGCACTGCCACGGACGTACTGTGCACATTGCCTCGAAATATGAGGGGGAGGGATCTTGCCATATAGTTGTTAGCAAGCAACCTACCTTGCCTCATTGCTACAGTGTCACCCAATTAACTTCGTCTAATTAGCATTAAACGTCTTTAAAGTATAGGAAAAACCAATGTGCATGATAGGCGGCGCAATTATATCTTAACCTATTGTACAGCTGTGTAACTTTGTATGGAAAGCTATGGTTACCTAATGGGTCCCTGGTGCATGTGGTTACAGTGATGTGACACTAGCGGCGCTTTTCTCAGATTACATCACAGACAATAACTCTGCGATATTCTGCAGGGGTCAGTGTCTCCAAGGCAGTAGTAGAGACTGAGCAAAGTCAGTTAGAATCCACTCAGGTTCCTCCCAGTGTTCCTCAAGAATGTGAAACTGCTACTAATACTGCAAGACCAAACGAGCCTGCTGGTGAATCTCCAGCTCCTAACACAGCCTGTACACTGACAATTGACAATACTCAAGATGTTTTTGAGAGGATGTATGAAGCACGAGAGAAGTGGCGTAACATTGGGGGAGTCTTCCGTCTTTCTGAGTCAACTCTGGATAATATTGATTCCGAGAACAGAAACAATGACGACAAGCTACGTAAGGTCATCATTGAATGGCTCAATAGATATGGAGGAACTGGAGATTGCACTTGGACCCATGTGGCCATGGCACTGAGAAATAAAACTGTGGCTCGAGAAGATGTTGCTCGTGAGGTGTTAGAGCAGCATCCCCAGCCATGGAGTGTTCCTCCTCCCTCCCTTCCTCCTCCACACACTTCCCCTGACTCAGGATCTGGCGCTACTGCAGTTACGCTGCAACCAAGTACCTCCCACCCCCTAGCAGGTAATCATTACTACTAGTATAAGTTGAAATGATGCATTTGGCTTTGCTGGTAGCTACATTGTCTGTAACAGGCAACTTGGACAAAATTCAATATTTTGCCTTAGAGTTAGTTGCTGCTGAAGTAGTCCATATTTACTTTACCATACCTAGCCAATAATACCTGCTCCTTAGAAATTCACCTTTCTATGAATAATTGAGTAGTTTACCGAGTGCATAAGTATAGTGGCAGAATTTTTGCTGCATGTGAGACTGTAGCTGAAACCCTGCTGCTCTAGGTATGCATGTATGTTATTGCCCAGATATCAATTCCAGTTTTCTCTCCGTCTCTTTTCTAGTTTGTGTTGAAGTTGGTTAAAGGATTTATTACTCGACTGTTTTGAGGCTGACCTCCTCTGCCGTATAAGTCGGCTTGAAGATTAATTAACAACCCTAGGTGTATTAGAGATACTCGAATAAGCGTTCCAGTGAATAAAGCTATAATGTCACTAAATCTCATGTATGAGACTTTAATGTACGATTCAGTTTCAGCAGTACTTACATAATGTTGCATTTTCTAACCATCTTTGTCTTGATTAGCTTCAGTTGCATCTACCTTTCCAGTTGTTTCAATGAGTTCGATGTCTGAAATGCAAAAGAAAATTTTGCAGCGTAAGATAAACAAAGACAGTGAACTTCTTATGGACGAGTATGCATCTTTACGCTCGCGTACTGAACACTATCTTCATCTAATCAACTGTAATGTTGAGAAGTTAGTTGTGTGTGTAATGGATGTTCGACATGTAAAACGTCTCTCAAAGGTATCTCCTCTCATTAAGCTTGAAAATTCCACTACCATAAGTGGCGTGTTCCTTGAGCTGATCAAGAATAACTTAATGACATTTCTCCAGTTTTCAATTTTAAGGCGAATAATTTGTGACCTCTGCTTTGGGTCAAGAGACCTTCAAAAGAAACTGAAGGCCTATGAAGAAAAATACAATAAGTACATCATGAGACGTGTGTGTGAAACTCACATGTACCATGAAGGGAGATTCGAGGCATTTACTGGCAGTGACACAGAAGAAAAGGTAGAGCTACTCATAATCACTGACGAGAACTGGAACGATGACACAGAGTTTCTAAGACTAGTAGACCTTGAAGCAATTGTAGCCGAAATTTTCCACATTGATAACTTCAGTCTTCAACGTGAGAGCATTGAGCCTCATTGCCTGAGATTGCGTTATGCCATATCCATCCTCATTGCCCAAACTGTGTTTCCATTGACTCACGAGGAGTGGCAAAAGCTTTCTGGAAAAGGCATTATAAAGATGCAATGTCTCGAATATTTCTACACCACTGAAGATAAAGGTATGTTTATAGAATGCTAATTGCTCTTACAGTACATCATGATCTATGCATGTGGTCAACTTCCACTCTTTTCCATCATTGGTTTCTGCCTAACCTTGAGTGATTGCACGAGGATTCTTTTTAATCAGTTAACAGTTTGGGTTGTAAGTACGTACCCCTACTGGATTCTAATACTGGGTTTTGCTGTTAGGGTAGTTAATTATTGGAGGTCCCACTGTATAAGTGTTTTATAATCATGGTGTATGACGTGATTCTCAGTATCGGATCCTGTACTGTAATCACCACGTGTTCAGTATGGTCGTCTCGGTCCATAGCTCTAACAATATGTTTTCCTGTGCTACAATCTCGCTAACATCGAGATACGACACATTTGGAGATGAGATAGCTGTCGCTAAGCTAGGCAAAGTGAAAGTGTTCGAAGAGGACTTGTCAGAGTGTGTCTAAATACTGGACCATTCTATCGTCAAGAATGATATCACTGAAGCAAGCAAGAAGCGAGCCACTTACCTCTCCGTAGTAGGACTGGCAATGTACCCAATCTTCTGAAATCTGGTTGCGCCTAAGAAACGGGGAGAAAAGACCATGGGGCACTCGTTGACATGCCATCGAACAACTCCAAACTGAGATTTACCCTTGCAATCATACATTCACCATAAACATTAGCTTTTTTACATGCATGTCGTAGTGGGCTTGCTTGATTGCTTTGATTTTTTTTATATGCCTTGATGTCACATGGAGTAATAAGCATGCACGTTTGGTTGTTGTGTTTGTCACAGGTAGTCTTGTCCAGTGGGTTTCCAAGGCAGACATGACAATGTCATCTAAAGGTATTCATCGTAAAGTACCACCTTTCACCTTTTTAAATGTAGTCAAATATAATGTCTTTAGATCACCTCATTCAGTTTGGTGAGGGTCTTGGTATGGAGGTAGGGGAATTGGAGAAGTTGTGGGATAAAGTCCTCGGACGATACCACAGAGCTGTGCAGAGCCTTGTGGTGGGCATTCTGCAGGAGTCTCAGTATGCAGTGGAGAAACTAGTTCATGCTATTTCCCACATGAGGACCCCAGAGAGTGCCAACACTGCAGCACTAGCTGTCCAAAAAGGTTATAGTCAGCAATGCTGTAATATGAAATTGTGAATTATGTTTAGTATCTTTTGCAGTGGTTTTGATGGTGGAATGCCTCACTGTACTGTTTAAAGACGTGGAGGATATTCTTCTACTTGGACAGCTGCTACGGATGCCAGAAGAAACTCTGGCTGCTATTGACAGCTACTATGAAGAAGATTGTCATAAGATGAGCCACATGTTATCACTGTGGCTGATGGAGGATCACGAGGATCCAGTAACTCCTCTCAGAGATGCCCTCAATTCTCTGGGGAAAGAAGAAGTCTCTCAGACTCTTGTGCTGTTGACATCCCTTGGTGAGTGGACCAGATGTGTTGATCACTGTTCAAAGTTGACTTTCTCTTCCAGACACCCATGCAGAGGATGTCACAAACACATTGTCCGCCAGTGTTGATATAAAAGCAGATGACTTTCCTTGGAAAGGTATTTTATACCACTAAATATTGATGATATTGGGGTTATATCCTTTATTCATTAGGTCATCTCGTGACTCTGTCCAATCTGATGCGAGTATTCAAGAATGTCATATACCTAGACAGGGTATCTAATGCCTTCGGCATGTCTCCTGAAGCAATGGGTGGTGATGAGGAAGAAAGACTTGGAATGGTTTCCAACTTCTTCCTGGAGAAAAAGCTGACGTGGAAGCACCTGAGAAAGTTGCTGATCAGACATAATGAGATGCAAGCAGGAAAGTTTGTTGACCTGATGGAACAGTATGTTCGTGAAGGTAATACAAAGTTCTCTTTGATGTTTGAGGATTACAGTTGATGTCCTTACAGATGCTCCTCTGACGGCTGTCTTGGCTCACGAAGTATTGAAGAAAGTTGAAAATTTTAGGCAATTTTGCAAGCACCTATGCATTGCCAGAAGGGAAACTGTTATAGAAACTATACAGTTCTATGTAGAAGAGCCATACTTTGAAGCGTCTTGGAAAAAGATAGCTCTGGGTCTATATCACTCATTTGAAGACAGATCCATTGACTCCCTATTTCACTACATGAAGTCTCCTCCTGGTTAGTTACTGATTTGGAGTGGAGAGCGTGACTCTTAGTTGTTGTATATCTGCAGAAGTGACTCTGACAGTGGCTAATGTGAAGAACTGTTTGGAGGACTCAGTTCCCAGACACATGTTCCCCACTCTGGAGAGGGAGCTGGGAGTCCCACCTCGAGACACAAGAGAAGACAGCCACCCTCTCACGGGAATGAAACTTTGGCTACTCTCTAACCCAACTGCCTCCTGGCAGAAATTTGCCATAGCTCTTTACTCCTCCACTCTAGATGGGGCACTGCGGAGGTTGAAGGAACTGAAACTACTCTCTAATCCAGGTAACCATTTGTCGTTCCATTGGCTAGTCTTTGGTTACAGGTTTAAGTGCAATAAACATCCACTTCGCAAGGTTTTTTTGGCTTTGATATGTAGTCTTCCTGAAGCGTGGAATTGAGCTCATGCACTACCTTGTAGATCTTTTATGATACACATCCACTTGGTTTTATGTGTACGTAGTTTTTCAAAAGCCTTGAGTTATGGAAACAAAAGAGCTATAGATTATACCCACTTACGATTTACAATTTATTTGCCTACGGCAGCTTTCTTATGTGTTAGTAATTTTTTCAACTGAACAATGCTCTTCGAAACTGCCTGGGCTGATAATTCTAGCCCAAACACTGCCCTACATAGATTACGTAAATCTGCAATCTTCTCTGAGTTACCCTTAACCATGTGTAGTACTGTACAGAGTCAGGAAATTTCAAAGTGTCTAATGTCTGAAGTCAATACTTTCATTGTACCCTTCCCTGGTGAAAGTTGTAAGGCTTCTGTTGTTACATTGGCTAGTATTAGTATTATGTATTTTTCATGTAAATTCAGTTTTAGTCTTTTAAATGCATGTAGCCATTTGAAGAGCTAAATTAGTTTCCAGCCTTGATTATCTGTTTGTGCCTCACTTCAGCTGCTGTCACATTAGTACAATGTTGGTATAACCATGGCCGTGTCAAGCAGAAGTATTTACTTGATACCTGCAGTTATTAAGCCTCGGCGGTTTGGGTAATTGTCTGTCTTTTTGTCTGCAGTCTCTCTGTTACTGCTATTCTGGCACTACAGGCTATGAGACGACAAAAGAGTGATGCTATTGCCTAAAGCGAGATTTGTGTCTAATATTGATGGCATAATGCACGAAAAGCCAATGAGCAATATTATCTCAGTGTTTTCCAGTGTAACACACCATTGGTTGCATTAAAGTCACTCTGAAGACGATTATCTAATCTAGCGGCGCTCAAAATGCTACTCACTGATGCTGCTTAGCCCTTGTTAGAGCGAGAAAGGAACTGTATGTAATATAATGTGCAAAAATAATAATAGGGGCAAGTATATATAAACACAATAATTATCGGCTCTTGTCAAGAGGACAGAGTCAGATGGATGGTATAATAAATTTAGGTGGTCCGAGCCAGAACATTCTAGTAGCAAATCTATGGCGGTTGGCTCATCCCATCCCCTCCCCCCCACAAGTAGCTCCGACCCCGTCCCCAGTCTGTCATTGTTACCTGCGTGTGTGCCTGTGCAGTACGTTTCATTCGAAGCATGTATACCAGCCGATGGTTTGCCACTGTTTTCGGTGGCTGTGACTAAGTGAACGGAATCTTGTCCTGTGAGTGTATAACACCCAGCATTGCCTTCAAGTACAATAAACTACACATTTTTACGCATGCATAGTGCATAACATTGCAGCTATATACATGTGGAGTATTTATCTTGGACTGGGTGCTTGCACTTCAGTGCTTTTAAGCACGTAATGTTGTATGCAATTGTTAAGTCATACTTTGCACTACAGTACTCACTGCAATAATCAATTGCGTTGCCTAGAGGCTCTGCGCATTTAGCCTTTAGGACCTAGTTTTTATTTTCGCGGCGAGGGTTTGCTCTTCAGTGCTTTTATTTTTTTTTCGCCGAGACATTAATCAGGTGCGCTACAGTAGTTGGGTAGGAGCCTGCATGATAAACTTGTGCTACGTACATGATTGATTCTCTTCAGCCTACTTAGAATGGTGTAATATAGTACCTTACAGCTAAGTGTGGCATCATTGTTATATAGTCATTTTAAGGACCTTGTTTATTTTGCAAGGTTTAAACATTAAATATTCTCTCTCCTGCAGATGCAAGTTTTACAATGGCCAATGTCCTGTCAATGACAGAAGGTGTACAGGATCATGAGGGTCTCGGGGTGCTGCTGGGAATTCGTGACCCACAAACCAAGTTTCACAAAATTAGACAGTTACATAAGAGCATAAAAAAGCAAAAGGAAGCCATTGTTCACCTGTGGTACACAACACATCCTCTTGCATCGTGGAGTCTACTGCATCAGGCCCTCAATATGATAGGAGACATCAAAGCAGCCAAGACTGTACAAGAGAAGTTCCTAGGAGGTGTGTTATTAACTCTCGGCGTGCATGTGCAGCGAGGGTTGCAGCATTTGGTCTGCATGTCAGGATGTTTGTTAGTCTTTTCTGCACCAGTATACAACAAACAAGCCAAGTAGCGATCCTAGACTACAATTGTAAAACTTGCTATTTTCATTAAAGTAGTGTTTTATGGTGTGAAAAGTAGGTGAATAAGCCAATATGCATATTACCACTGGCTTACCTTCACTAGATTCCCCCCGCATTATGCACTGTGGAGGCATCAATGTTTACGATAGAAAATGAATATTTAGTACCGCAATGCCTAAACCGCTATTACCTGGCAGACTCTCAACGAGCTAGGAAGAAACCATGCATGAATGAACAGCATGCCCTAGTCAATCAATTAGCGACCCATGCATGCATATTGATGTTTCAATGCGTATTATAGTAGTTTTCACATGATTTTTGTGTGCAGAGGGTCTTTAGTTCTAAGTAACTGGGTATTTGTACTCTTGCAAATTTTCCCAAGGAACTACTATATAGGCGTTCAACGGCGCAAAACGACTATTTTTCACACTTTCTACTGTGTAAACGACTAGTCCACTGCAGTTCCCTGGCGACTTTCTCCATGGCCTCCTTAACTGGAAATATACAACCTTGTACCTACCAAGACATCAGAACCTCAATAAGAGAGCAACGACATCGATAGGTCCTGGTGTGCGTTTCATACCGTGGGACACGAAGCATCAATTTTATCCATGCACTCACGACAAAGGCATCATTGTTGTCTACCTCCATAATTTTAAAGTGTTTGTTGAGGTAGTAGTTGCTACTTCCGATAAAGCTTCTGCTTACAGTCCTTAACAACCAGAGTAAATTCCGAGTCATGAAAAAGGTCTCCCAAGGCTATCTTAATACGACAAGCGTATAACTTATTTAAAGTAATGAGAAAGTATTCGTTAAAAATCAGTCTACAAGTGTGTGCAGTCTAACCTTGATGGCTGTCAAGAATATTATTTGCCGAGTGAATACAGTCACAAAAGCACAGACTTATTATGCATTGAGGCTATTTGTCTAGAATGCTCTAGAGACACAGAGATACAGGTGTAATGTTCTTGGTGTACAAGGGCATTGCATAACAATGAGTAAGAGTGTTCCAAGTTACGTAACAGTCTGGATTGGTGAGAGTGCACATTTCTTTGTTACTTCATATAAGACTAAGTTTTGAGTCATGAAAATTGTTGTTGGTTACCCAATGCATAGTATGCCATAAGAAAAACAGGTTATGAACATGGGTTACGAGCTAAAACAATGAAAATGCTGACCAGCAGATTTCGTGACTCAAAACTTAGTCTTACATGAAGAACTGAACGCACATTTTCACCACACTCCTCACTCTCTCCAACCAATTCACTAACCCCAGCCAGTCTTCTGAGTTTCTTTGAATTGTCTGATAGAGAGCACTTTAGTGAGCATGTCAGCAATCATGTCTTCCGAAGCACAGTATACCAGTTTGATCTTTCCAGCCTCCACAGCATCATGGATAAAGTGATATTTAATTTCTGTATGTCTGGTGCATCTATGAATGCTCTGGTTCTTGGCAAGACATGTCTCCCATGAGTTGCTGAAGCCAAATGGCTTCTTTGGATGCAGCGGCCAGTGCAACATACTCTGCCTCAGCAGTGGATAGAGCCACACTGGTCTGTTTGCTGCTCTTCCAGCTGATAGCAGCACCTCCCAGAACGAACAAGTACTCAGAGGTTGATTTTCTGTCTCCAACATCGCCAGCCCAGTCTGCATCCGAGTAGTAAGGCAGTGGATACGTCCATCTGGTGTAGCTGCAGCTTGTGTTGAGCCCCCAATGCTATAGCAGATCTGATGGATTCGAAGTGAACAACGGGACTGAAGGTCGTTCCAATCTTCCCACTTACATCACTGTGTATCAGCTCGAGTGGATGATCTGCTCTTTTCCCACTGGAATGCTGGAATGGCAACCTGTGACTTTTCCCCTCCACACAGGACTCGCAGAAGCCAGTATCCTCTTTCCATTCGAGATCTATTCCACTGACCATTTTGTTTCTTGTCAGGGTTTGCATTCCTTGAGTTCCCAAGTGACCAAACTGTCGATGCCAAATCATTTTCTTGGAGCTGTTGTGATTGGAGCTTGGACAGGCTTGGTGAGCGGGACCTCATTGGTGAAGGTAGTACAGACTTCCTTCTCTGTATCCAGAGGCTGGAATTGGTGTCTCTGATTTCACATCTCGTCTCAGTGTAGGTGGTTACCTCTCCTTTCTTAGCAGCAGAGGTAATGCTGAGTAGGTTGTACGCTAGATCTGTTACCAGGAGAACGTTGTAAAGTGTGTAGGTCTCTTTCCCCTTCAGTAATTTCATTGTTAGCGTCGCATGAACGCTTCCTACCGCCTGAAATTTCGACCGTCACCAAGCATCACACTCATTGCAGTGGGTATAGTTTGTACAGCGGTGAAAATTGAGTCCTTGTTAACCCTCGCATGCGCAGCGAGGGTTATTGTAGTTGGTCTGTGTGTGTGTGTGCGTGTGTTCGTCCGTCCGTCCGTCCACCGTTTTTCTCGGTAACCGCGGCAACTCTGAGCGTGAAACGTGGACATATTATCAAGTAGGAGGCATGCATGGTAAACTAAGATTCTGGAGCAGAGAAGGCCAGGGAAGCTGGTGTAATGAACGGCTGCCGAGGTGAGTGTGCATCAAATAGAGACCGCGGACGATCGCTGTACTTAGATGCTAGATGCTTTGCTCCAATTGCAGATAGCGAACTTCGGTCATGGACTTGATATGATCTTGCATCAAACCCCCTTGTTAGGCTGCAAAAGCGAAACCAACGCAAGAGTGAAACAGGATTGGAATGCGCAATTTAAGGCTGCACGGCCATCCGGTATCGGAACGTGTACCGCATGCGGCAGTTCCTTACCCTGGGACTAAAGGAGGAAGAAACGTCTCTCAGACCATCCTCACACTTGTACTTTAGCAGCAAGTCGAAGGCATTATGTGCAGAGCCTCGTTTCGCACTTTCTATTATCATTATTGTTGTAATTTTGAATTGCAGAGAAAAGAGAGATAGATACAGTTTTGTAGCTAGTAAGGAAGAGATAAGTCCTGCAGCTAAAAAGGAAGATAATCATATTGTGATAGATGATTCTCAATCAGGCGAAAGTGAGTGGCCAACGTCATGGATTCCATCTCTTAATATGACTCAGTCCGACAAGTTCCAATGCATGGCTATCGGACTCCATAATAAATGCTGCACAGTCACTCTTAAAAAGGGGAAATGCACTGGTTGGAGGTTTACAAAATGTCAACTTTGGGCTCACAAATTCATTTGAAGTGGAAACAGGGGAATTCGTACAAATAATCCACACTGGGGAAGGCCACTGGCATGTGGTATCGACAATTGGAACGCAACATCCTGATGTCAATGTGTTTGACAGTATATACTGTCATTGCCCTGAACATAGCAAGGTGCAAGTATCAAACTTGCTAATGACAAAGAAAAACACAATTCTACTTCACTACAACAATGTTCAAATGCAGTCAGGCCAGGCAGACTGTGGCCTTTTTGCCATTGTATTTGTGACTGCACTTTTGAACGGCTTACATCCTGGGGCGTATACGATCAGAGTTTGATGCGGTCACACCTACTCAATTGTTTTGAGAGGGGGGAAATTGAAATTTTTCCAATTATAAAAGAGAGGCGGGTCAAGAAGAAGATTTAAACAATAGAAGAATTCAATGTACAGTGCAGTTGTGGAAGGCCACTAACACGTGGAGCTCAATTCATCATGCGTGGGGCATGCCGGCAATGGTATCACATCGATTCTTGTGTAAAGATTGACAAAAGTTTTATAAATACCAGGAAGAAGTGGTTATGTTACCTCTGTAAGTGCTGAAAGGCAAACAAGCTTTCTTCATGCGTACCATTTTGTCTCTTTCACCATGTAACCTTCTTCAAAACATACCCATGCCATACTCCAGTGATAATACTCATGAGTGTCATTATTATTGTAGCATTCCACATATAACTTCTATCAAAAGAATCTTCTAACCATGTCTTCATTATCTGTCGCTTTTCTCTCTGAGCAGCAGCTGTAAAGAGACTCATTAGAGACTTCCCTGGCTGTTCCCTTCCCAATTTTGTCTACTGTCTCCTTTGTCTCCTTAGTCTCTTTGTTACACAAGATGAAGTGTATAGCTGATTCTATACTGTACGTCTAATATCTTGTCAGCAGCGGTGTAGCACAGGAGAGCGCAAAATACTAGAGCGCGCAGTATGCGATTTAGGTGCGCGTGCCGCACTTTATAGGCGTGTCGTTTCGCTCTTGCGTTGGTTTCGCTTTTGCAGCCTAACACCCCCTTCGCCCAACCTCATAAAAAAAGAGTTTCCGTTTGCGCTCAAGTTTATTAGCCTGGTCAGCTGGGGCTTTCCACACTTTAACTGGATCCGTTGGGTCAGCACCAATTACATAGAGCAGACATGGTTCAATGTCCAACACGACGGTCACAAGAGCTTTGTCTCTCCTTGCTGCAAATCTTGCCTGTTGGTTAGCGTTCTTGGTAGGAGCTCTTTCTGTTCCATTGACAATGCCCCAAAGTCCCTCTTTCATCAATGCCATCTTGCACTGTATTTTCCACGTGGAGTAATTCATGCTGTTCAACGACACCACTGCCACGATCTTAGACTCGGCCATTCTTGAACTCTCCCGCAGCAATCTGTGAGCATAACTGACTGTTAGGTCCTTAGTCTGGGCCCATAACCTGATGGCTTTCAAGAATATTATTTGCCGAGTGAATACAGTCACAAAAACACAGACTTAGATATTTCTAGAACGTTTTAGAGACACAGCGATACAGTGTAAAGTTTGTGGTGTACAAAGTCACAATGGTGATTGCATAACAATGAGTAAGAGTGTTCTAAGTTGTGTAACAGTCTGGATTGGTAAGAGTGCACATTTTCACCAACAAACCTTTGGTAAATAAATACTGGTAAGCCACTACAGCTGAGTAGACTTGCTTGCTCATAGCAGACAGCAATGTGTTTGAGTCCACACTTCACCCAACTGAAGAGCACCCCTGTGTAACAACTGCAAGACTGGTCTAGTTCCACTCCTTCCTGCCCCCACCCAAACTGCAACCCCTTGCCCTACGATATGCCTCCGAGAGCCACGTGAGCAGTCATCAGGTAGTTTTGTCCAAGATTAGCCCTCTCGTTCATTAGAGGCACGTCGCAGCAGTAAGTAGCGGTGAACTGAATGTCCCAGAGTGGACACAGAAGCAAAAATCTGGCATTTTTCCTGACCTGCTTTATAATTGTCATTATCTGGTGGGTGGGGCTACAGCTCATAGTAGATGTAATATGGCGCAGATTGCTTTACTACAGGGTGTCTTTGCAGCGTATTTCTTGGTGGACTACTAATAGTCATAATATTATCTTGACAGAACATTTTTTAATTAGCTACTGACAAAGCTCAATGTTGTCATATTAGGTTCTGAGCGAGAGGCAGAGCTAAACATGATGCAGATTGTATTCACTGGAATCCCTCGTTCTGGGAAGAGCTCGTTTTGGAAACGCTTGCAGGGCATTATTCCAGAGAGACTTCTTCCAAGTACTGACATCACCAGTTCTGAAGGAAGTGTGAGACTGGACATTAGGGGAAGCTGTGGCTTTGTTCTGCACGTCTCAGAACTTGCCTGGAGGAGGATTCAAGCCGAGGAGGAAATGGAGGGATTTGTTGCATTGGTAACTCAGCACGGACATCTCTTCATACAAGAATCACCTCAAGATTTCTCTAGCACCGCAGTACCTGAACAGCAGGGAAAAAAACCAGCTTCACCCAAACCAGACGCGCAGCCGGTTCTTCAGCAGAGTAAATTGGCTCAGGTGAAAAATGAAGCTGTAGAGCAGTCTATTACCACAGGCACTGACTCAGTCTTGCCAAACACAGAAGGACAGCAACCTACGCAGCAGAGCGAGCAAGATCAGCCACAAAAATATGTGCCAGCTTCCACACACATTGAAGAGTCTAGCAACGTAGAGGGGCAGTTACCCTCAGCCTCCAATGTAATGAATAAGGCATTAATCAGTATGAAACAAACACAACTCAGCAGGAAGATAGACAGTGCCTCGTATGTACTGTGCAGAGACACAGGAGGCCAGCCCGAGTACCAGGAGCTGTTGGCTCTACTGATTGCAGAGAGCAACGCAGTCTACATCATCTTCAATCTGGTGCACGACCTTCACTCCATTCAGCCTCTGGAGTACCTCCCATCTATTTATGGTGATCCGATCACATACGAATCACCACATTCTGTAGGTGAGATGCTGTGTCAGTCTCTGATAAGTGTGCCAGTTCACAGTTCTGGTGTACGGGGCTCCAAGAAAGACTCACAGGACGTGTCTGGAGATAGAGAGTTCCAGAATCGTTCGTGTGTTTTCTTCATTGGCACACACAAGGACCAGGTGTCCCCTCAGAGAATAGAGGCCATCAACAGAGACCTGACTGAACTGATCCGACACACTCCACAGTATAAAGCCAACATTGTCCAGTGTTGCAGTGCTGACAGCATCGTCTTTGCTGTGGACAACTTTTCTTCTCTAGAGAATGACGAGGACTTTGCTGTGATTCGCAGGGCAACCCAAGGCCTGGTGTATGGCAGTTATTTGAGAGTGAAGGCCCCCACCTCGTGGCTGTTCACAGGAGTAGTCCTGCAGAACGTGTCTGAGACACGACCAATCATTTCACTGAGTCAGTGCCAGGAAATAGCTCGGCAGTGTGGAGTCGAGCAACAGTCATTCAAACCGTGTCTCAAATTCCTTCACAATAAAGTCGGAGCCATAAGGTTATATGAAACTGAACACCTCCGCGATGTGGTTATCATCAAACCTCAAGTACTGATCAATGCTCTCTCTCACCTGATGAGAAGAGCCTTCTTGAAGCCTCTCTCTGGGAGAGCAGTTGTCGACGATGAAGATATCAATGATGTAGTCCTGTATTTCAAGTCAATAACAAGAGATCGTCTTATCGAGATAGCACTTGACCTGCTAGTGATGTGTCGTCATCCAAACTCAACTGCCCAACATCCCATGTACTATCTCACCTGTATGCTGCCAATGAATAGAGAGGCCAATGGTGTTGGGAAGAACTCTGTTTACTTCACGATGGAAGGGTTTGTGCTCCCTATTGGTCTCGGTAGAGCCACGATAACCGCAATAGTACAGCAAAAAATTAACACCAAAACCCCATGGAAGATAAACTACGACACCTTTCATCGCAACAGTGTTGAGTTTACAGTTGGTTCTCCTGCAGTGAGTTTCAAGATTTCCTGTTCTGCAAAGCACCTCAGTCTCTCTGTCAGGAATGCTGCAAGCGTTTCGAGGGAGACATGTTCCGAAGTTCGTATTGCAATTGAGTCAACAATGACTGAAGTATTGAAACTGTATCGCTATGGACAGGCGACAACTCCAGTTGTAGCCTTTAGCTGTCCGAGTTGTGATCTGGAAGCTACTGGGTTCCACTACGCCACCTTAGTGGCTGAGGACAGACTTGAATGTTCTCATACGAAACAGAATGTGGTTGTTGCTTCACACCTGAAAAAGTGGGTTTTGGTGAGTTTTAATATGTTTATTAATTTCATTACTGTTTGTGTTATCATGGCTAATAGGAAGGAAAGGCTGCTTTGTTGAGAGCTGCTGAGATTGGGAATAGTGATGTTGTCAAGAGAGAGCTCACTGGTCACACCGATGTTAATTCTCAAGATGAGGTTGTTTTTCTCTCTCTTATTGCATTTTATTGTACTTTGCATGGGTGGATCAAAGGCACCGCCATTGGTTTATTGTTAGGCTATCGGCGACCCACGTCGGTGTGTAGCCACGCGGTAGCCACCCAGAGCATTCTGAGGAACGGAATCAGCCTAGTAAAAAGCAGCTTTCTTACCCCTAGGAGTCGTAACAGTTGTATCTTGGCCTTTGCGGAGCGTTCTCACTGCATCAGAGCAGCGTTGAGTCGTGGTGAGAGACGACCACCTCCACCTTGAACCGGCTTTGTTCCTGGTCGTTGCATTTGAGTCGCCCACGGTACAATAAATCAATTAAAGCACGAAAGGGACATTTTGTACGCTTATAAAGGTACTCAAGGCTGGTCTCGATAGGCCATAAAACACTTCAGCTTCAAGTTTCCAGTTCAGCCTTGTGTTTTGGGTTCATGGTCAATTGCCCTCATGCTATGCTGTGTTGTTCTTGTAATGACATGATTAATTATTTCACTTAGGATGGAACAACTGCCATTTTCTATGCTGCATGGAATGGTCACATTGATATTGTGCGTCTTCTGATAGAGGCAAATGCTGACCTAAACCTACAAGATAAGGTATATACATTGCTACCTTTTACAGTACTCTGTAGTATAACAGTAGAGTATGTATCTTGTCTTGTGGGGACTATGCTAAACGTTAGTCCAACATGTGACAAACATGAACCCCAATTGTGTCGTGTTATCACATGACATATACGGAATAAGACTTGAGATAATCGTTATAGGCATAGAATTTCGACAGAGAAACTGCATAAGTATGCTCTCATCAGGCAGGCATTTTTGGGCCAAGTAAATGTCTGGCCATTTCGGCAGAGGTGTGCAAAACGTGATATTTTAGAATCCTTATGCTTAGAAATTGATGAGAGTGTACACATTGCTCCCAAATTCATGTATGTCCTGTCATACATGTCAGCAATGGTATGTGAGGTACGTGCCTGTATTCCTCAGTAGATTATGAAGCTACATAAGTATGCTCTTGGCAGTACCATTATAGCTAGGCAGGAATCTTTGGGCCAAGCAAAATTAATATCTGGCCGTTAGTGCAAAAACATGATTCTCCTAGAATCCTTATGCATTAAGAAATAGATAGTGCACCAAATTCCTGTCATGCATGGTAGATGGGTATCCTGTATTCAGTACATATACTCAATGAGATGGTGGGCAACTTCCTCACCAGACAGTTTTGGTGAAAATGTTTAGCCTACATAATTGCTGTTCTACACTCTACAAAACATAGCATAACTGCAAGTAATAAATACTTCAGTTTCTTGCATCAAATGTTACTGACAGCTCTTTCCTGAAATTGCTATATGGCAGTAGGTTGTTAAACGAGTAGCCATTCCCTTTGAATAGTTCATGCAGGTTGTCTGGTTTAGCTCAAGGAATATCAGCTGCTGCCACATTTTTCACTCCATACACACGAGAGATGATTCTGGCCCACTGGATTATCACTGAAATCGAGGCTCTTAGGTGCTTCTGCTATTTTTTCGTCCATGACTTTGAGATACCTCATTTTAGCAGTATACTTCAGTCTGCATGGTCATGGCCAGCTATAACCTCTGCTTAGGCTACACATGCTGTCATTCTTATTTCCCTCCTGTCCAGGATGGTTTTACTCCACTCTATGGTGCCTGTGAAGGTGGACACAAGCTGATAGTTGACATTCTGTTGGAGAATGGAGCCAATGTTAATCTCACCACGACAGTAAGTGTAAATGAGATTTGTGATGTACTTGTGCTATTTCTTTATTATCTTATTTTTGTCACTCTCTTGGTCCATTATTACTCAACTAAACAGTAAAACCTTGTCTAATCAAAGGGATTATAGCCAATTTCAGCAGCTTCTGTAAGTGGTACAGTGGCTCCCAGATAATATAATACCCACAGTGCATTCCAAAAAATATGATAATATGCGGGATATTCTACAGTGCTGGTAGGGCCCAATGTATGCTGTGTACATATATTAGACTAACCCAGATAGCCCACAGTGTAGTTTGTTTAGCTAAGCTAATCAAGCTGGGCTCAGCCTATCAGTTTACATAAGCTAATGGAAGCCATGTGGAAGAATGGAGAGGGTTACAAAACTCCAACCCAAGATTGTGGAATTACCCATGCATGCTCAATAATTATGACAATGTGTGAGGAAAAACCAAAATCGTTTAATTTTTCTATGGTAATAGGCGGGATATGTTATTCTACAAAACTGAGTAATATGTATGGGAAAGCATAGGAAATGGTTTTGGATTTCAGGTTTGTATCATAATAAACGGGATATTTTATTAAACGGTATGATGTTAAGTGGGACCCACTCTATATAGTCAGAACCCCTGATGGGTGAATTATGCTCTTCCCTCATTAACCCTCGGCGTGCGTGCGCAGCGAGGGTTACTGTACTTGGTTTGTTAGTTTGTCTGTCTGTCTGTCTGTCTGTCTGTTACCACGTTTTCTGCCACCACGCCCAACAAGACAACCAAAGAGTGATATTAAAAGGTTCAACACTACACTGGCTTGATTTTAATTTGGCAAAATTCGTGAGAGTACTGTGTTCAAGAGTTATGGCGTGAAAACCAAGTGAAAAGGTCATTATGCAAATTAGCACAGGCTCTCCTGGACCTGGTCCGCTTGCTCTGTGTACCTTGGAGGAAAAAGAAGTCACAACGAATGGCCTCCCACATGCTATCTACGACTGTAGCTAGCCCGTGTCAGACTCTCCGCGAGCTACTAGCGGGAGAGAGCGAGTAAACGCATAACCCAGCCCATAAATTAGCGATATTGTGCATGTGAAAACTATGAGGTAGAAAGGCAAAGGCACAACAAACAAATCAACTACACCTAGGACAGCTCTTTTTTTCCAAGGAAAATTAAATAGCTGCCCTAGGTGGGATTCGAACCCACAACACTCTGCAGTCTAGGCGAGCGCTCTACCAACTGAGCTACCAGGGCAACTCAGCTGGTAGGGGTTCGAATCTACAACACAACACAACACAAGGCAAACCTCCAACCACTGTGCTATGGCACAGTAAACTCTCACTTAGCATGTAGGAGCAGACCGGGGTAATTAAACCACCAATGACGCCCAACTCCAAGCCAAGTATATGCATGTGAAAACTATGAGGTAGAAAGGCAAAGGCACAACAAACAAATCAACTACACCTAGGACAGCTATAGGACAGCTCTTTTGCACAGTTTGCCGAGGGTTTGCACTTTGGTGCTTATCATTATAACAAGTGGGCATACCTGGCAGCAAGTTGTTCATTTGATGACATTCTGTGGTCTGTTCTAGTGTTGGCCCTTTATGACAGTCAAAATGCAAAGGGAAATTGATTATTTCGACGTGTTTTAGCTCTGTGCCTATAGTGACTGGGTTACTGGTCACTAGGCCTGGGTTCGACTCTCACAAAAGTTGGTTTTCTCTGTTCTCTTCTAGGTCTGCGTTAACATCTTTGGGATTTTGATGGTGGTTAGAATAAAGGATTGAGTTTCATGAATATTTCAATACTATCAACAATACTACATAACTCGTATACACATGAAAATATCTTGCTAATTTGAAGTGCAATGAATAAGAGTGGTAGTTATTGTTCACTCTCTGTATCTTCTGCTCTTCAACTGTTTTCTATCCATTTCTCCATGAAAGGTTGATCCTCTCTCATCTCCTCTGGGGAGAGCTGCTGAAAAAGGTCACACAGAGATTGTGGAGAAACTGATATCAGCTGGAGCTGTCATCAACTACCAGAACAAGGTACGACGTTTTCTGTCTGCCAGTGTAACTTTGGAACACCTGCTAGTTCCACTGGGTTCTGTATAATCTTATTACATATACTCTTATATGCCTCTGGTGTAGAGAGGAATGTGATGTGTAGTTCTGAGAATGTTGATCATCTTGCTGTAATTGTACAACATGTTGTTGAAAGTGTACAAAAATTATTATTGTAGCACATGTACTTATGCAGTGGTTTGTACGTACTAGTAATTTATATGCCAAGTGGTGCTGTCTAGTACAAACAAGTACGTAGTTTGACGATCCTTTGGTCCTCATCTGCTCCTGGCAGTATTGTAGTGGAGGAAATCTGCCATCCGATGGTCTAGTTGCATCATTATCATTTAACAAGAGACCATAATCATGTGTACATGTGTTCACTATGTAGTGTTTGTGTATGGAGGAGCTAAGTCTCTTCCAGTTGAATCATGACTGGTGTATGGACCACAATGAGGGCTTATGTCCACATGGTGACTGCATGAATCCATTGAATATGGCTAATAAGGGTATCACTATATATTTTCTTACTTTTGTACTTAACTGTATATTCTGTTGCGCCTTTACTACTGTTAGGGAATTGGCACTTGTCTTCGAATTTCTTTGCTGTGATGTGCCTCACACGCATACATCTTAAAGATACACATACCTGGAGAGTCTTGCTGTTATGAGACACTGTACACAAGGGGTATGCACAATGCGAAACATTGTGACTGTAGCCTTTTGCAAACCTGCAGTAAAGTTGCAGGTCAATAACTGAATTAAAAATCTGTGATACAGCAATACAACCCTATATTGTTGCGAAGCATGAGTGTGCTCCTCATATTTCCTGAGCAAGTAATGCACAGGTGTTGCCCTCTCTGACAGCTCCTCAGTTTTGGTTGTGACTGCATTGTGTGCAGTCTAAGACTTACATGTTCGCTCAAGTAACTAGTTTTACAATGCTGCATTCTTGGCTCTCCATTCACCATTGTCCTCACACTTTAGCCAACCATCCACGTATATTGCCAGTAATTACAAGTACGACCAACTTGTAAGGAAGCATCTGTTGGATATGCAACGTTGGAACATATATGTACCACCTGTAATGGAACAGTTGCCTACTATGTATTGGCTACCCAAGCTGCATAAAACCCATATGGGAGTAGGTTTATTGCAGCGTCAAACAAATGTTCAACCAAACCATTATCGGGGTTGCTGACAAGATGTTTAACAACTATTTTAACACACTTCAAAGAATATTGTGCTGGTATCTACAGAAATACGGGAGTTAATTGTTTTTGGGTTATTAACAATGCGCAGTTAGTCTTACAATCAATGCATACACTCAACGATACTTTCGGCGGCTAGAACCATGGACACCTTTGACTTTTCCACATTGTATACAAGCATACCACATCATTCCTTGAAGAGCAGTATGAAACAATTGATAGAAGATGCCTTTAAGGTGAGAGGAGCAATGTATTTATCGATAACTAAGAGAGGTAAATGTTTCTGGAGTACCGACAATAAGTATGAAATTAATATCAGTAAAGCTCAGCTAATAGATATGGTCTACTATCTTATTGACAATATATATGTGTCAGTAGGTAATAGGGTGTTTCGTCAGTGCATAGGTATACCTATGGGCACGGATGGTGCACCTTCATTGGCAAATTTATATCTATTTCACTTTGAGTCCGTATATATGAGAAGGCTGATAAGTAGTAATATGTCTAAAGCGAGAGGATTTTCTAACACCTTTCGGTACATTGACGATCTACTCACTTTAAATAACCCCTCTTTTGAGAATGTGATAAATGAGATATATCCGTCTGAGCTTGTGTTGAAGACAACGAGAATAGTGGTATGGTTTCTTACTTGTATGTTGGCATTATAATAAAAGATGGACAATGCACCACCACCGTCTATGATAAGAGAGATAGTTTCAACTTCCGTATTGTTATTTTCCTTTTATGAGCAGCAACATTCCCGCGGGTCCTTCGTATGGCGTTTATATATCTCAATTAGTGAGAATTGGGCGAATATGCAGCACCAATGATGAATTTATTAAACGGAATATGATGATTACTACAAGATTGATAAAACAAGGTTTCCGTTATAAGTTGGTTGGCAGTTTCAAAAAGTTTTATGTGAAATATATACATCTAATGGATAGATACAACGTCGGTCTGAAGAGACATGTTTATGAAGGCATATGTGGCCTGTATATTGGACGACCATCCTTGTACAGACACGTAACCACACGGCAACGTCGTTTGTAAATTCTGGCTGGCCCTACATTCCTTTAGAGGAAGGATCTCACTGTGCTTTGCTTCCTGTTGGCCTGCGTTATATATTGCTTGCTCTTGGTCTCTCTCTGTCATTCCGTTTCTGTGCTGTCGTCGATATTGAGGTGTGTTTTCGTTGATTGTACTACTCCGTGGGCAGTATCACTGTGAGAAAGGCGTGGGTGAGTGGGGAGAGTTCACCGGTGATAAAAGACTCTAACCCACCATCCCTGGTTCTCAAGGCCGGGGCACCCTTCTATGCCTATAGGTCTTGCTAGCTGACCTCTCTAATGGTACTGCCCTACACTATTGTTTTACCTCGTATTTTGTTATTTTTGTGCTGCCGTGTTTCTATGGATATTATTTTTTAACCTTTTAAATATCGCAGATTATTTTGATACCTTTTGATAACTTTTATACCGCCTGTGTCCGTACCGTTTGTGCCTGTTGTAGTCGTTTCACCGCCATCGTGCATCAGCTCACGTGTTTTTGCAAGTCCCAAGTAAGCCCTTATGGTAGCCCTTCTGAAGTCATGCATTCTTGGCTCTCCATTCACCATTGTCCTCACACTTTAAAAAATCCATGTTGTGTGTATCACCCTTCTATGCCTATAGGTCTTGCTAGCTGACCTGTCTAATGGTACTGCCCTACACTACTGTTTACCTATTATTTTTGTGCTGCCGTGTTCCTATGGATGTTTTTTTAACCTTTTATATGTCTCAGATTATTTTGATACCTTTTGATAACTTTTATATATACCGCCTGTGTCCGTACCGTCTGTTGTAGTCATTTCACCGCCATCGTGCATCAGCTCACATGTTTTTGCAAGTCCCAAGTAAGCCCTTATGGTTATTATGTATGTTTATTGTAGCCCTTCTGAAGTCCTGTTTTCTTTCTCTTTTTCTTTCTTTGTATATAGCGTGAGCTGTTCAGTTTTCATGTTGTGAGTAAAAGTGGCGACAATATAGGGCTTGTGTGGAGGAAAATGTACATGAGCGAGCAATGTCAGTTTGATGTATGTAGCCATCATCCATTGTACTACTGCATTACATACACTCTGTCTTGTCTCCTTGTTTTTTCCCCTATATTCACCATTTTTGTATTATATATCTTTTTAATGTACTTGTATTATTCAAGCACCATTGCATTGCTCGCTCCGTTCGCATCCAGTCATATGCGGCACTGTAGTCTAGAAGTCTGCAAACCCCTGAACAGACTCTCTCCATACATTTCTATGGCATACCTCTGACTGCATGTGAGAGCAAAGCAAGTACTACAGCTGTTTAGTGATGCCATAGCTGGTCTTGGCAATGTTATACCCATCTGGTTTGACCCTAAAGAATATTTTTCCTATCAGCACATAATTCCAGCAATGATTTCCGATATGTGTGAGTGTGTAGTGCTGCATAGGTACGAGACTTACAAGGCAACAACCATAATCTGTTAGAAACAGGACAAAATGGAGGGACAACCAAACGATCTTTTGTGCTTGTATTTCTCGTGTATGAGGGTTTGTATGACTCTCTGTCTTGATATCTCTCTGCACAATTATGTCACATTTGACTTTCTCCTGTATATCTCTCTGTCAACTTTCTCCTATACTCAGGATGGTTGTACTCCACTCTATATGGCCTGTCAGAATGGACACAAGCACACAGTTGATGTTCTGTTGAAGAGTGGAGCAAATGCTAATCTGACCGAGACCGTGAGTTTAATTAACCCTTCGTGCACATGGACAATGAGGGTTATTGTACTATGTCTGGAGTGTGTGTATGTATCTCCTTCTCTCTGTTACCCCACAATGTGCAACACGGGGGCCACGAGTGACGCATGCATACACAGCCATGTCGCCACATTTACTCACCGACATTAGTAAATGGTGTAAAGTGTGAGGACAATGGTAAAGTTATTCCGTAGATGGCTAAGAACGCAGCATTGTAAAACTACAGTGAGTTAGAGGCCATTAATTAACCCTTCATGCACATGGACAATGAGGGTTATTGTACTATGTCTGGAGTGCAACACTAAAGTGAAACAACCAAATTTAGTGCTACTGGTGGCTATCTGCTTTTAAAAACATATCTACGTCGTTGAGCCACCGATACCTAAATAGGTTTAAATGTTATTGCACACAAAGTCAAGTAAACAATCGAATCATAATTATGCTAATTACCTCGACCAGGCGAGTAGAGAGAGAGAGAGAGAACGAGGGGAGAGGGGGTTCTCTTCCCCTTTCCCTTTCCCTTTCCGCTCTTTCTTTTCAAAGAAAAGAAGAAGAGCCAGACTCTGATATACCTTGGAGGCATATCATATTACATGAAAGGTCTGAAGTGTGTGTATGCATCTCCTTCTCTATGTTACCCCACAATGTGGGGAGCCAGGATATTGAGGATAGTATGATTGTAAGTGACCTAGACTCCGTTGACAGCAACACACTCCTTCCCTTGCAAAGGGAATTGAGGTTGTGTGTGGGGCATTGTCAAGAGACCTTTTTAATAGGGGGAGGGAGGGGATGAAGGAGTGCCTGTTGTGTGATGATGTGTGTGAAAGTGTGAGTCATGTGTTGTGGGAGTGTCCAGCATGTAGTAGTCTTAGGAGCAATTTCTTAGTTGCCCTGCAGGGGAATCTTGGGTTTGAACATTTCCAGTCGCTTGATAGTTTCAGGAAAGCATCCTTTATATCGGGTAGTGAGCTGTGGGAGGATAAATTTGGTTCTTTGCTTGGCCTTGTTAAAGGTTTTATTTTGGATGTTTGGGAGCTAAGAAAGGTTAGGTTATACGGCGATAATCCCAGCATACAACAGACCCAGTCTCAGATTGCGTCTGGGGAGCTGAAGGGTGTTGCTGGTGGAAGGGATGAGTTTGGGTGTCTGGGAGGTGAGACAGACACCTCATGTTCATATGGTGTATCTTCGCTTGTTAACGGTTCTGCCCATTGCTCTGGGTGCGTGGTCTACGACCCTAGTGCTACTGTATGGCTGCCACCTGGGTCTTGTTGTTATACGCCATCACATATGAAAGTATCCTCGCTTCTGTAGACTGAGTGTAGAGTGAGTCAGGGAACGAGGGTTTTATGTATTCATACGTAACTAGCAGAGCCCTTCAAGGCAATATGTGATCACTGCATTGTGCAAATAGAACACTGGACAGGGTATATATGGTAGCGTAGGAGTCTAACAGTTGTGTACAGAAACTGCACAGTTCATGTCCGGCTGCAACACTGCATTATGCCCAGTGATCTAGTCACCACATTGTCAGGCCATTGGCAGTCCTAGGACCATGCAAGGGATCCTAGTACACGTGCTGAAAAAACAACAACAAAATACACTTACTGTCTGTTATGCCACAGACATCAACTCGGAATGAAGAATTATAGTTACCTTATTAACATTCACTGCAAAAGAGTTGCATTACACACTGGATTAGTACTGTACTACCTAGATGGCTGATGTATCTGCCGCGAGGAAACCTTTTTGGCAGATATTACAGCTGACAACATTTTTATACATAGAACCTAACTAACATGATAAACTCTCTCTTTTTCCAATCTGATGCTTGTTTCTGGGGCTTAGCCAAGATGCCATGGCCACTTTTGTAAGCATAACGCTGAAATGGACTTGCATATTTAGTCATAATGCAAAGAAATTCCATTGGTGCATGACCCCACTGATATTATTGCTAGCTTCTGTGAGAATGGGGAATAGTTCATGGCTGGTATGGTTGATGGCTTAAGTGGACTTGTGGATGGATATGTCAATGAATGTGTACGTATTTGCTGCTCGTATGATTTAGTATACATTTCTTTTGGTAATTCTATAGAGACTCATTGCTACGATACTAATAACAATTACGTTGATGAGCTTGCGTAGCATTAACTTTAACCTGAGCGACATCTGGGAGCCAGCACTACAACGCCACACAATAAACCTCAACCTCAGAAACATCAACTCAGGCTGTCAGCACGTAAACTGTTGTTCCTTTCTGGCCACAGCCCTTAGCCATAGCTTCCTTTAAAGTCTGTAATCATCTTAGTTGTGCAGTTCACTGAAGAAGGTCTACGAACCGAAACATGTGAACAGTAATTAAGTTCATGCTACACAAGCTCATCAAAATAATTGTTATTTCTTTTGGTCTTGTGCCTACTCTGAAGTAGCCTATGGTTCACTCTATAGCGAATACATGCTTACCGAGTAACTGACACGTAACACCAATTTCCTTGTACCTACATATGTACGTCTGTTGCTGCAATGAGCAATACATTAGTCTCTGTTTTTCCCCTCCTCAATGCTTAATGTCCTTCACTGTATTTGACTAGTCATAGTTAGTTGACTGGTTTACTACAAGCATCTTAACATTAATAGTTATTCCTACTGTTTGGTAAGCAAAGTTATCCTAGCTACCTACTTTCTACTGTATCTAATTGGTAAGCAAAGTGATCCTACCTAGTTACCTGAAATTGCCTGCACTTCTATAGTAATGTATACAGCAATGTTGCCACCCTATTGTGATGTCCAATGTAATCTCACATGTAATAATTCACACATTCCCCTCCTCATGCTCCTTCCACTGTATTTGACAACTCATAAGTAGTTGATGGTTTACTACAAGCATCTAACAGGTAAGGTAAGCAAGTTGACTCTAGTGTTAGCTTGCTAATAATGTATATATTAGTTCTAAGTTGGACTATGGAGGGTGATGACCAGTGCCTTTATTACGTCAATGTTGATTTGTATAATCATTTATCAGTACTCTTGCGAGTGGCTGGTTTACTTCAGTGAGTCCTGTTTTCTTTGTGAGGTTGATCCTCGTCTCATCTCCTCTGGGGAAAACTGCTCAAGAAGGTCACACAGAGATTGTGGGAGAAACTGATATCAGCTGGAGCTGTCATCAACTACCAGAACAAAGGTACGACGTTTTCTGTCTGCCAGTGTAACTTTGGAACACCTGGAAGAGCTCAATGATCTACCGTAGTGACTTGCGGCAAGAAACAAGTGATCGCTTGATATGCGTGCACACCTCCGGAAAATTTAGAGACGTTCTGTGAAAAAACCAACGCTTCAACTGCTTCCGGTAAGGAGCTAGCGGGTCTGAAGAAGAAGAAGATGAAGAATATGATGATGATGATGATGACACGAAAATCGCGAAATCGCATAAGTGCGAATTCTCTGGTGGGGAACTGAGGGCACGTAGGAAGTCTTGGGGCATATGTATAGCTAGGTATTGGCCTCTAGACTATTGCTAGTGATTTTGAAGCCATGGTGAGTCATTCTCGCTGAGTTTTGAGGCGTTTTGTACGCGGATCACGTGAGATTTCACTCGTGTCATCCCTATATAGAGCGTCTACCGACGCTCTGATAGAGTCCAAGTGGAGTTTAATTAAATGAAATGTGGCAGTATCAATTTTGCTAAAAACAACAGGGACACGGTGAAAGGATGCTTGCTTTTAGTAACCTTTAGCCCTTATATAATGCCACATTACCTATAAGAGTAGCACACCAGGCAACAATATAGGGATTGTGTGATGGGGTTGGGGGTGTCAGATCTGGTCATTAAATGCTTCAAGTATCCCATCCCCAGCTAGCCAACTCTCCCCACACACCCAGTGTCCAAACTCTACATCACAAACAATGACAGCCACACAGTGAGAAATCGTACGATAGCATAGTCATCAGACAATATATGTAAAGTATGATAAATAATTATATATACAAACATAGATGGTAGAAAAATGAAATTGGTACCATTGTAGAAAAATAAATAGAATCTAGCTTACTTACTGGAGTGGTAAAAACAAGGTAGAATAACTTACTAGTAGCAGTAAAAAATTTAGAATGACTTACTTGTAGCGGTAAAAACGTGGTAGAAAATAGAATCTGGAATAAAACGACTTACTACGTGATCCCTTACTTACGCAGTAAAATGTGGTGCACTATCGTGGTTCCTATTAGTGCCGCCCCACGTAGTGTACATAGCAGTAGTCAACGTGAAGCTTATGTCTGACAACTGTTTGTGTACAAAACGTCTAGCTACCAATCCCACAGGATCTTCTACGTGCCCCTTGCCATTGCTACGTACATAACCCTTTAAAAACTTGGGGTTAAAAAGTCACCTCATTTTGTTTATTAGGTCGTGAACAAGGCATCAATTACTAGATTTTGTGTCGCTCTATAGACATTTTTTTAAGTCTTTCTTTATTGTGTGTTTACATGTGAAATCTGATTGTTAATCCGAGGATTGCCATTGTCCTTACAGCTGTGCCTATGAAAAATGACTGTACCTTCTGCAATCCTTCCCCCCCCCTGCCCTGGCATATGGCACTTTAGTCTATTTGCATCACCGGAGCCCAGGAAGGAGGATTTTTTATGTGTTTCGATTCCTGATACTCACACCCATCCTATTATTTAGCATACTTCTCTTGTGGTTGACAACAGCTAACTTTTGACTGCTACATGTTTAGAACCGTCAGGCATATCCATCAGAACAGTATAATTGCGAAGGACTCCAATATTAGCGGCCTTTTACAATTGGATTTATCTAAAGGAAGGGTAGTGACAAGTTTTGAGGGCTCAGCTGAAGTCGATCCAATTCCAACATCTCACGTGTTTTATCCTTCGGCCTTGGTCATTCAGTCAGAGAGCAGAACTGGTCTCACTAACACAAAACGCACTGCTCCACTTCCCCCCATGAGTATCCCCATGATGTGCTTGTCACTGTCATTATCATGCAGCAGGGGTGACGGTACACAATATACCTCTGTGGGGTACTAGGAATCTCTTGCTTCACAACTGACTCTTTTTTTAAAACTACTATATACCATTGCTACCCATATGACCACTGTGGGTCCTTTGTCCCTAAATACGTCGACAACGAATGAGCATGACGTGCCTACGACAACTGTTGTCCCTGTGCCCTAAGTCATAACTAGCACTTAACTGGTTTCCCATTCACCGCACTGTGAGCGCGATGCAGTTCAAATACAATGTCCAATCAAATCTAGCATATGCGAACACGTGACTATATGTGGCGGGCAAGTTTAAGTCAATCAATTCCATTTCAACACCGCACATTGCTACTGACACTGCGCATGCTGGCATATCTCCACAG